GTTCTGACGTATCAACTATGCTTCACACGTCCAATATGCTTCACCAAACCTTGGCTTCTAAAACAGCTCAACACATCACGCTGAACCCATGTTCCCGCACGTACTGCGGCACACGGCTGCTCTTGCCACACCCAGTCTCACCCTGGATGCAGGTCACTCGGCGCCTTGGACGGGTGGAAACTGTGGGGGAGGGAGGCGGATGAGGGATGGAAGGTCCCTACAGCCTTCCTGTCACAGCTTGAGACTCTGTCACAGCTTCGGACCTTCCCGTCACAGCTTCGGACCTTCCTGTCACAGCTTCGGACTCTATGGTCTATTTATGTCTATATCTTGGGTCTATCCCAATACCAGGGCCCAGTGAATGATGGTTCAGTTGCAGGCCGACAGTTCAAAAATAGTGATGTTCTTGTTGACGGACTGTTACAGGTAATTGGACAGACCCAATATCATTGTGATTCATGATGGAGCAGACGTGAGTAGACATGAGCAAACACTGACTGCTCATGCTTCGGCTGCTGGCGCGGCGTCTGGAATCTGACAAGCAAAATTCCCATCTTCCCCAGCAAACCCCCGGGCGCTTGCTTCACCTCTGGTGCCCCGTCTGATCTCTCCACAAGATCCACAAGGCTCATTGCGAGCGAGCTCGATCCGGCGCGAGCCAGCCGCTCGATCGGGCCGTGTGCCAAGACACTCGCGGATGGTGCGCACAATCTCATCCCGGTGCTCATCGATGGGCATGGCCTGGACATTTCAGTTGATGATTCATAGGGATTTCAAGCGAGCATGGGCCCAGCATATCTATCTGGGATAGAGTCTTGGGCCAGCATCTGGTATCTAGACCCTAGCCTTCAAAGACCCTAAAAAAACGGTTGATCTGGTTTTGTAGTGCATACCAAATCGTAAAACGTAAAACCATGGTTGCTCGGATGCTCGGTCAACCTTCAATCTATCGTTGGAAGCCTCCGGTAGAGATCTGGTCTGGTGCCCAGGCCGTGAAGGGCGGCACATCGGTTCGAAGGCCGCAGACTTGGTTCGAAGGCGGCCATCTCGGAGAGATGTTGGGAAAGTTTGACAAACACATGGCCTGGCATGCCAAGAGAAAGATGTCTTTTCAAAGTTGCTTGGACGGACGATTCTCTGGGGTTTATAAAGAATAAGTTGCACGACGCCGTTCTCCAAAACACATATTATCTTTTAGTAAATTTATACCAAACTGGGACACCTAGCTACTGCTGGGACATCCCAAACTATACCAGAATTCTGCAGCGCAATGATTCTTGGCAACATGATGAACCGTCTCCCATTATGTATGCTGCTCCGATTGAGGCCAGATTATCCCGCCCTGCACAGAACATTGTACAAAATCTCTCTCCCCTCCTGAGGTTGTGCTCTCCTAAGCAGGGACATCGGCGTTCCAGTTCCAATTTCATGGAGTTTCGGTGCGTTTCGTGTTGCTGTGCAGGCTTGACCTAAGGGAGGGACATTGCTCCCCTGTTTTGACAACATGCCAAAGCATGCCAAAGCTGGAAAAAGGATAGCAAAGTAGCAAAAACGATAAACTTAAAACATTAAGTGCACAAAGGAGATGATGTATCCTAGATTGGAATGCTTCCCATCACTTGGTAAACAACCATCGAACATCTCGGATGGAGCTTACAAACCACATTCATGCTCCTTCCTCTCCGAACCTGCTGCAAAAATAGGTTTCTGCCCTACCCTCTGCTTCTCCATGTGCAGTGCTACCTCCACAAACGAGTCCCACAACCGCAAGACGATGTCTGGAACTGCTCCAAACATCTTGCAAAGCGCCCATTCCACAAAGAGCAACAAACGCATACAAAAGCGTCTCAGCCTCGGTCATCTCACAGTCAACTTGAGTTTTTTTTCTGTGCTTCTTGGATTTCGGGAAAACAATTGTTCCAAACCCTTGAGCCATGCAGCGACGTGGCCTCGCTTGACGCGCCTTGCCTCTCGCTCAGGGCCCGGGAGTGGCTTCTGCACCGTCGTGGTGATCACCGCCTCAAGTCGGTCCGTCGGCGGTCAGTGATTGCTCGAAATTTGCACCTGGATCGTCCAAATCGAATTGAATTAAGGATGTTTAAGGGAGAACCACTGGGAAAACCTATGGGAAACCATTAGCTTTGACTCCCACAAAAGAAATGGTGTCCTGTAAATTTCCCCTTGGAGCGAAGGGTCACCAATAGATTCACCCTGCACTTGAAAAATGAAGGTCCGTTGGACATGATGTTCTATATGTTTGAATGATCAAACTGATGACGCATGTCCGGAATCATCATACAAGTATTTCAGAGGGTTTACACTCCATGTCTAGAGGAGGATTGATGATGCAATCAACACCTACACATTGGCTTCTCACATGATTGTTCAAACAGTGCCTGGACCGGTCACATACGTCTTCCGACTCCAAAGCCGGAGATCCGATAAAGGTTACGGTTAACTGTTTTCCACCTGGTGGTGTTAACCGGGAAAAAGGCCATGGTTCAATAAAAGCTTTTCAGGTGATCCACGGACTACAGCGAGCATCCCCACCTTCTCACAAGGTAGTTGGAGCCCTCAAAACATGTTTGATTGGTGAACTGGTTGTCTCATGCCAAGTCGGGGCACCTCGGTGGAGGAGAAGCTATAGAAGCCACTCCCATCGCTGCCCGCGTCACCTGGAGGAGGAAAGGTATGAGGGTGCCCGATCTTGGAAAAGGATGTGTCAACGCGTAGAACCATGTACACATATCACATACCTGCATCACCCACAAGGATTGAGGATGCGATAAAGAAGCCTACGTAGCACCTGCCATACCATTGACAATGCAGGTCTTGCCCATGGCTTTTGCATGCTTTTGGCCTCTCGTCTCGCATTGAGTTGTTCGGAACCTTCGAGTTTGCCACATCCACATGCTCAATTCACACCACGCGTTTCTGATCCTCCTCTGATTCAACACCACACCACACGAACCGCTTCCAACCCAACACCCTCCCACTTGTTCTGCTCTGGCGGGTCGCTGGGCCCTCTGTACGGGCTCGGTCGCATCGCCCCCTAACGCGCTACGGCAGAGTTGGAGCATCCAGCTCTAGAAACTCCCACCTCCGAGTCTAAGTGGAGGGAAGTGGTCCACCGAGGTGTGTGAGATCGCCGCTAGTGGTCCGGCGGGCTACAGGTTCAGCTCTTGTTCCACACGTGTAGCCGGATGTATCTTGTAAACCATGTTCAACTTGGCAGCAAGACTGGTCGCCCTGGCAGGAGTGCTTAATGATGGTTCCTCACGTCTTCACAAATGATGGTTCCTCACGTGGCTCTCCATTGGAGATTGTTCCTTGTAAATCACTTCCTCGGCATCCACCTTCCTCGGGGCCTCGGAAAACCCCGATCGACCGGGCGGATGAGTCTGGGAGTCTGGGATGAGCTGGGCCCGGTCAAACCGGACGAGTGGTCAAGATCTCGGGCCAAACAACCATGACTCAAGGTTTCTTCACTAAAGAAATTGCAACAAACACTTCTAGGTTTGTGAATGGGTTTGGAGGATCCAGTGGTGCCTTCTGAGAAGGTATGACTGGATCTGTAGGGATAGTATATGGACATCTACTATGGAATCAGAAAGCACAACAAAGCCTCACTCTAGCTGATGGACGTCCATGCCCAGCGCTTCGGCCCGTCGTCTTCTGCGTCGGAGGGGTCCGCTCGCGGCCGTCCGACTCTACGTGCCGCAGCAGGTCCAACAGGACTCACGCTTGGTGCGCTTGGGACTGCGGAGGAAGCGCCTGTACATCACCACCACGCAGCAAAAGGCCACGGTGAAGTAGCCTAGTACCCCATACCTCGGCACGTCCACACGTGGTGCGGCCAGCGAATCATGCGACACATGCCACGTGTTGCAAGAGGGATGGGCCAGGTGCTGCAGGACGTGGCCAAAACTCCATGAACACCGACATCCTTCCACCTCCCTGGAAATCCAAGACTGTTCCAAAAATGGTGTTCAAGTGATCCGACAGGAACCTTCCTTTCCTTGTGCGGGGGCCACTAGTCCAACGGGGCCTTTTTTTCGAGCACCTCCTTCCAGTGTCAATGTCCGGTCTGCTGTCTCGGTGCCAAAAGTAGGTGTACCCGTAGGTCTCCAGCAAAAACGGAATCGTTGGAACTCCTTCATGGTTCTCGAAGTTCATGCCGTAGACCTCAGGAAGTCTAGACGTCCTCGCGTCCGACGACCTCTCCTCTCCTCTCCTCTCCTCTCCTCATGACACGCGAAAAACAAAGAGACCCCGGTGGAAAAGCAGCTGGCAGGAGTCGTTGGAAGAGCTGCTGAGTAGTTTGCGGAGTCAAAAAAAAACATGCAGATTCCAACAGCAGTTCTTGTTGCTGTTGCTTCTGTTGTTGTTGTTGTTGTTGCTGTTGGATGGATCTGCACTACACCCAGGCCAACAAAAGTTGGCAACCATAACATACTATAGCCGCCAAAGAAGAAAACCTAAAGTAGAGGAAGAATCTTGGTACCATGCCCATATACTGCAAGCCATCCACGGTGGTTATAGCAAAGGATTTCTAGACCCTAGGCTTCCAACCACCATTGATATATTTATTCTTACTGAAAACAGTTGTTTTACTAAGGCTTTTGCATTACAAAACCAGGTCGTTCCCCATGTCTAAACCTGGTCGTTCCCTGCTTCGGCTTCCTCATCGTAGACTGTTTCTAGATGTCCGGATCTGTGACGCTGCGCCGTCGCTTTCCCGATCTTCGCGCTCTCGGGTGATGTTTCAGTGCGAAAATTGCCGGTCTGAACTGAGAAAAGGCACCGCCTCTGAGAGAGTGGCCAAGAATTCTCAAAATGCTTTGTAAAGCCAAAGACACTACAACTACGTTCTATAGGATCTTGATGATCTGAATCCCCGCAAATGAAGATTTTGTTTGATCCAATTGGGGGGTCAATAGCAAGAATCTTGTGTATTTATGTATGCACACCTTTAATATGAAGACAATCATGTATGATAACGAAGCAACTTCCAACAGCATGGTCTCTCTCAGATCTCAGCCAATTGCTGAGGTCTAGGTCTATTGTGATCCTGGTTCTGAAAAGATTGGCCAATCCACCAACCGTAAGGTTTTGACGTGGAATCTTAATTCCATGTTTCTCGTGCACTGCAGCCTTCAGCTGTCTGTGTGAAACTGAAGCACAGCTCACATCGGCTCACTGTGCGATCTCAATTGGCAGAATCTCACTTGGAGTCGTACTTGGGTGTGCAAATCACCAAGAATGGACCACGTCTTTGACGATGTTGGCCATTGCAACCTTTCAAAGATCTCTGCTCAGGACCTCTCGTGCGTTGGTCATGGGCTCCAGGTGCGAGGAGCTGATTGGACCTTGGGAATATGATGGCAATTGGAATATGGCTGTCCAGGAGCCCGTCAACTTTGTGAAAAGGACACATCATGATCCGTCATATCGTCGCGGCCCTAGAGTGACCGAATGACCCTTTTCAATTCGAAGACCAAACAGCTGCTGCTCACTCCACGAAACCATTTTCTGAGTTCAGGAAGGTGCATCCCCCTATAGAAAATAGGACTCACCAAAAAAGTCAGCAAACTCACATGATCCTTATATATATATCAAGCAAAACATTATGATTATAATGAACTGTATCAAACATCCTCCTAATTCACCCCTAATTCGGGGAACATCGGGGAACAAAGAATAACATCCTTCCGGCAGCCATTGGACTCACAGGATCGCCCTCAGTGATGTCATTGGAGGACAAGCTTCTCCGCCGAGGCTTGGGTGTGGCATCTTTGGATTGGTCCCGAGTGGTGCCTAATTCCACCAGAGAGAGTCTGCGATGCTTGCCACTCATATACATACTCCTGGAAAACAGGCCAGCAAGTCAACCCTTTTAAGGGCCTGCCCTGGGGCCCTGGGGCCCTGAGAGGGTGCTTTTGAAGAGAAATGACATGCAAAATACTGAAAGTCTCGCTGAAGGGCCCTGACCAAGGTGTTTTTGTGGAAATGAAGGGCTGGATGCTAGAGGTTTGCAGAAGGTTAGGGGTCGATTCGACCGGATCGATAGAACTGAGTTCCACCAAACGGGCGCCCGAGCGCGATGCCTTTCTGTTTCTTTCTTTCTTTCTGTCTGTCTGTCTGTCTCTGTCTGTCTGTCTGTCTGTTTGGTTTTGGCATTTGCATGTTATTTTTACATATCTATTTGCATCCTATATCTGGCCCGAAGGCCCACAAGCTCCAGCCTGAAAGCTTCTGGATGCAGCATCTTCTTGGCTTTGACTCGACGTGCCTGCGCACATGGCGATACCGGGCTCCCCACCCCGGTTCGATCCAGCTCCCTTCGGTGCCCGGAAGACTGAGTCTTCCGCACGGTTGTCTCCATCTCTTCTCCACCGGACTTTGGCCAACGTTGGTTCCGAACACCGCGAAGCCTGTTCTTCATTCTTCATAGTAGCGTCAACGGATCGGAGACAGGAGTCTTCCGGAGTCTTCGTCTTGTCGATACGAAAATTCTCCGTCTCCTCTCATCCCTCAAGAGATCTGCGCCATGGCAGGTCCAAATGCGAAAACATGGCGCGGTCCGCCACACGGTCTGGTTCCACCCCCAGCTCCAGGGAAGGAGGGTTGCACAGCAAAGGCCTTTCTCTAAATTAGTGACAATTGTTTACCGACTGTGCCAGGCAATGGGACAAGCCCAATATAGATATATATACCTATACTATACATTGGGGTGGTTGAAAAGGGGTCAAGGGATGTCAAGGGATGTCAAGGGCATGTACAGTTGTATGATGAAATATAACGATATATTATGACTTATATAATTGCACTCTGATTTGCTGCAATCCATACATGCAGCGTCTGGGAATGTTGTTTGGGGCTCAGCATCAATCTAGCCTCCAGGACTAACAAAGCACCCTGGTGGAGAAACAGCTTCCCTCCTCGAGGTGCTAGTGGAGGAGCGTAAGTGGGCCAGCAGCACTTGACAGGATGGTGGAAAATGAACATCTGTTGGAATGCGCCACTTGTGTGAACAAAAGCGTGCTGCAACACATCAATTGTGACACACAAGTTGAATTGCGTAGAGGGACAGTAGAAATAATAGCAATGAACACAGCCTGCCCTCCTAGTAGTAAGGCCAGGAGCCCCTAGTAGCGTCCTTGCTCTTTAGCCAAGGTTAGACTGTTTCCTAAGGGTTGTGTCCCAACTGTTAGTCAAGAATTGAATAGATGTTTCCCAGGGCTCAACACCATCTAAGATAGGGGTTAAGTGCCAAACAGTTCTAAAAACCCACAATTTTGCAGCCAGAATCACCATGTCAGAGAGATGCCAAGAATGAACATGATCCCCCACCCGCCGCAGCACGAAAGACCAAACAATCAAAACTAGATGTCTCGTAGTGTCTTGCTGGATGCTTTCTGGATGCGAAATCCACCCTGCCTTGGTCCTCTCCAAAGAGAATTCTTCCAGAGCTGGAGACCGGCTCTCTGTGAGGGCCATGGCAGCTCGGCGCGTGGCATCAAGCAACAAGAGATCCAGCTTTGACTCAATTTTCATCCCCAGATTTTCCAGCAACATCCTGAGATCTGCGAGCTCCCCTTCACAAAGAAGAAAACACTGCCACCAGTTCAAGCTACTTACTTCTGTGCCCCGTTACTGCTGTACAGTCTCCCCCCACTACTCCCCCAAATCCTCCCAACGTGCCGTCAGCCCAGCTTCTCGAGCCCCATGGAGCTTTCGCGCGCCTCCCTGGAGGCCGACTTGGGCGCCAAGAGTTCGGTATCCGCGGAGGGCGGAGGTTGGTCCAAGGGTGGGCTGGGACTGGGATCCACCTCCTGGAAATGCTTCTCCTGCTCCTGAATCGGCGACACCTGCCTGGTCGGGGTGGGCTGGGGTTGGGAGCGCCAGTAGGAAGTTCGACTGACCTGAGAGCGGTCAGTAAGTGGTGCTTGGGGGATGCAAAGGTTGGGAAGCTTGAAGGTTTTGAGTTTTTTTAAACTAAACACATGTTCATCGTAACCCACTCTCACACTCTCACTCACTCTCTCTCCGGTGAACCTGTCATAGCTGCATTTCGGAAACTACACAGAACAGAATCAGAATCCAAACCCTCACATTTGCTCTTGGAGACTCCTAAAGCCATCTAAAGCCTGCATTTAAGTTTTTTTGATCCAAAAGACAGCTAGTACCACCTTCCACCTGTACCTGAACCTACCACATTCGCTACCTGAACCTACCTTCCACCTATAACACCGTCCAACCTCCAAAGCATGCATCTAACCGCCTGCATCTAAGCGGACCTGCTCCCCCCCACCACGTTGCTCAACGGTCACACGAATTCCGCCACGCTGCGTTCCGGCTTTCCACCGGCGAGGTTTGACCTTCGAGGACCTCGGTGCCAGGCTCCGACTCGCTGGACACGGCGGCCTCCACGGGCAGCTCCGACTGGATCACCTCCACCGTAGGACTTCCCATGGGACTTCCGCTTCGGCTCGGCGCTGGGTCCTGGGCGCCGAGTTTCGGGCGACCCGGAATGGACAGGGTGGTGCGATTGGAGATCAGATTTCGGCCCCCAACTGGGGATGGTTTTGTCCTCATCATCTTGGAAAGGCTGCCAAATAGAACACTAAAAACAGCCCCAGTGCCAGGGCAACACGAAGGAAAACAACAAAACTCCTTTTGGAATTGCCTGCAATCGAGGTTCTTGCTGGAGAGGGTGATGAACCTTGACACCCTGAACTTGCGAAGCCAGGTCATCAATCCTCAACGCTAGCTGGTTGAAGCAATCCACCGACAGTTCGTAAAGATCCTCTTGCAAATGCATTGTTTGGATCATGTTGTATTTGATGAAGCGCGGGGCCGTCTTGGAATCGTGCGCCCACCGACTAAGAGGCCCAATAAATTCTGCCACTTCTATTGTGCCTGACCCATCTTCGTCGATCATTTGAAAGAGTTGCTGCAAGTCATGTTCGTCGATGTCCATAACCCGCAGGCGGGATTGAAACCCTGGATCGTTGCGAGCACCCTCGATCATCTCTTGCAAGGTTAACCTCGCTGACATATGTCTAAAAAATCAGTTTTTCAATCAGTTGTCAAAAGTAAATAAACTTGGAAAACAACTGCAAAAACAACATTTGTCATTGAAACCATCCCCAAGCAGCTGTCCGCTACCATCCTTGTCAATGCGCTCAAAGAGCTTACCTAAAGATTTCCGATCGTACTCGATCTCGTCTTCCATCTCCTCTGCTAAGTTCTGGACATCATTTTGTCGGGCATCTGCAAAAGTGTCTACAACCACGGCGACCTGCAGCAAACCACTAAGCAGCAAGAAAAGAAGGCATGTTATGGCCAAATGACTATCATGTGAATCATGTTTCCGAAATTTCTCTCCCAGTCTGAACCATCTTTCTCCATTGTCGCAGCACCTTCGAACCTTACTTCAGCGTGGCAAGTTCTTTGGAATGAGAGTGCGCGGATGGGGATGAGCAGCAGGATGACAATGATGAGAAAAAGCATGAGGATTAGCATGGATTAGCATGACACCACCACCCTTAGGAGAGGGGGGGCCTACAAATGTAATACTACATGTTTGGGAATGACACGATACGCGACAACATGCGTCCTTGCTCGACAACACGGTCCAACAGGAAAATCACAGCTCTTCGCGCTTCTTTTCTTGACTGGCGACAGCTCCTTCGTTCGATTGTTTTTGTGCTCTTTGCGTCACGCGCAAGAGCCCGAGGAGCGGGACTTCAGGGCAATTTGCAAGCAGTGCGCCGTGGTGCTGCTCGTATTTTTCGGCAAAAAACGCTATATGCAAGCTTTCTGTTTTGCGTATGGTGCGGTGGCTCCGGAAATGGACACAGGTCTGCCGTCGTCCACTTCCCCTCACTCATTTCCACATTCGCCCACTCCCCGGAAGGACTTGCAATACCCTCGTCAGTGTCTGGATGAGTTGGCGCATTGAAGCGCAATTTCCAGCGCACGTCACCGTGCAAGCGGTACATGGTGGTATTGCAGGAAGTAGTCCGCAAGGAACGCGAGATCCCTTTGGGCAATCTGTCGGAGAAAGCCCCGACGTGCCTGCAGAGTCCATCGTGGTGCCGCGGCGCCAAGACACAAGCAGGAGAGCATGTCGTTTAGGGTGGCTGCACCCACTTTCCCTGTCTAGGTATCTCTGGGATTGCATGGCCAAAGGAATAGGGCCGGCTGGGAGGTCAGAAGTCCTTTTGTTTTACTGCTCCAAGTCTTGACCGAGCTCTTGGGGATTGCAGGCTGCCGGACGTGACATGAATGGGCAAGGTAAATGTTTTATATGCTTTTTCAGCACGCAACACTAAATTCAACTGGTTGATGATTTCCAATGCGTGAGTCTTTGAGGCGTCCCACATTGGAAAGTGCATTCTGTCGAGGTTTGCCAAGGCATCTATATATCCCATTAAATGCCGGACTGCACAGGTCACATTCTTCTCGAACCGTCCGCATCGCCACTCATCAATGGCGACATCGAGGGAGTGGTGTGTTCCCGGCGCAGTGGTTTCCAAAGCCGTGCTCGGTCTCACCCATTGAATGTGTAACGTGTTGTTGAAGCCATGACTTCGATCTGGAAAAGGTAGCTGGACCGACTTCGACAGCTTGCTTGTGCTTGCTTGTCACATGTTGATTGAAACGCGAGAGAGAGAGAGGATAGAGGATAGAGAGAGAGAGAGAGACAAAAAATAACAGAAAGAAAGAAAGAAAAGAAGAAAAAGAGAGAGGTGCGCGTCCCCCAAGTACTTGCAGGTGTCCACCACTCGAAGCCACGAGCGTCCACTTGTTCTTGGTATCTTCAGAACTGTTAGCAGCCTTCCCCACTTGTGAGAGAACATGTTGAAGATCATGCTCACTGTTCACCCGCCATCTTGCCAAGATGTCGCCGGATGTCATTAGCATAGGTGATGATGTGCTGAGTCAACAGGCGATCTTACTTTAGAGTCCAATGGCTTTTGTTTAAAACCAAGTTGGTCCAAAACCAACATCATGAAAGCTGACCACTCCAGCCGCTTTCGTTCGGCTTAACAGGTTCCCTGCGTTCGTCAGACTGCTAGTAGACTCTTGGTAGACTGCACTCAGACTGCGGCGGCAGTGCCTGAGGATGGATGCAGATTGTTTCATGAGGCTGAGGCCAAGGTCAAAATGAGGATGAGGGCGAGACTGGGCCAGACGCATGATGGAATCGGATCAGCACCCCATCGCCGTACACCACTTGAGGCGATGGGAAGAAACCTCCCTCTTTGGGCTTGGAAACCTTTCCACCAATAGCTTTAGCTGGTCAAAGCTAACTCGGAGAGGTTTTTGTTATATAACCCTTCGCGATCTCTCCTCCCTCGAAGCAACCTGCTCTTCTATATATAATCGTCAGGGTGCTCTTGTCGGGCTCTTTTCCCATGTGACAAAGGACGAATCTCTCGCGTCTAATCGCACCGCGCCTCTTGCTCCTTTAAACCAACCTTCTGTCCCAATCAAACCCGTCTCCTCCTCCATGAATCTCTCACTCCATCTCTTCTGATTGTATCCCTGCCCTTTCCTTCAACCAAACCTCCCCAATGCGGCATAGCAGTTGTGACATGTTGTGACCACAAAATCAGGGACCGATCCGACCAACAAAAGGAGGAGGAATGAGAGAGGGCGCGGTGCTACTTCTTCATGTTTCAAGGTAAGGAACCATCATTCTATCGTCCATGTGTTGTAGGTGTTTTTCCCTTCCAACGGTTGAATTGCCTCTTAACTTCATCTCTCCAACTCTTGCCTTGGAGACGCCAACTCTGTCTGTCTGGCCGGGACCCAGAAGTTCCATCTAGATGTTCTAGGGCAACATAGGGCAACTAGACAGGGCCTCCAGTGGTTGCCCGATGTTTTCTCGACAATAGGAGTTGCTTTTCACCAGGAGTGGGAGCCTCTCTTGAGATCAAACCTTGAAAACCCCCCTCCGGGTCAGGTCGGGCCATGTCCACCGCTGAGGCGCAATGAGGTTGAGGACTCCAAACACCAGCGTGAGCTGGGACCCCACGAAGATGATGGCCGTCGCCGGGTGCCGCTGAATGACCGGGACCGCAATCTCACCTGACTCACAGAGGGTGGTCATAGGAGCGACACCCCCCCGAGGCCGGAAGTGCACTCGGCCGATGTTGTCCGGAAGTTTCAAAAGGTCAACAAATCCCCGGAAGTGGACGGTGAATTTGCTTGTAGGGGATGGGAATTCCACTTCCCCACTAGAGGTTTTTCGTGCCCTGCATTGGTGCTCACAAGCGGATGCGAAAAAGTCAGGGACCAGTGGTGAGATGACTGAGATGACTGAGAAAATCAAACACGGCTGAAAAGGAAACGCCAAAGCCGACCAAAGCTGAAACACCGAAGCTGAAAGGTCAGGTCACCCCAACTGTCACCGGCGATCACGGTTTTAAACAGCAAGAGGTTGGCGTCCATCACGGAGGACATGGCCCTCTGGCATTCCTCGTCGCAAGAGACGAACTCTTGCTTCTCGATCATCTCTTGCAAAGCTGGGTAGATCAACTCCTCAGGACGGATCGACTCAAAAAGGAAGACCGACGGACCCTTTTGGGCATGTTTTTGGCATAGTATACGCCCAAACCATTCAAATCCGCCTGGTCAAGAAATCGTCTACGAATCCACAACCCCGCGCGTTCTGTTTCTTTTTTCTGTGGGGCCATGGCCATTGCACGGACCACATGACCTAACTCAGTCGAAACCACGGTGCCCCGGGTGCCAATGGATTGGTTCAAGGGTTAGGGACGTTTAAAGAGGAAAACCTGCGGGAATCGATGGTTTCCAACTCCAAAACCTTCCAAAACCAATGGCATTTATTCTGTGAAAGTTGCACCTTAACGTGTCATGGCGGATATGGTAGCGACAGCAGTCCCAATCAACTGACTGCAGCACCAAGAGGCCACCATCAACATGGCCCAAACAGTCATAACGACGCACAGCAGGATGAAGGACCAAACCAACGTCCTCAAACAGGTGGCCATCATCATGACGAGCTTGTGCAACTCCCTCAATGGTCTTATCCTCTTCCTTGGGTGCTCGATTTACGTGACACGTCGTCCGCGCAAGAAGCAGACCCGCATAGCTAGCTGCGCCAAAAAACATGAGGAAAAATGGTGGCAATATCTGGGCTAATTGCAAGAATCGGTGCAATCTTCAATCCGTGCAATCCTAGGGGGATTATATTGGATCAAGCCAGCATATCAATGCGGATCACCTGTCTTCCAGTTTCCATACGCCATTTCCATATACGCCTAGTAAGTGGTGCCGTTTGAGCCCTGCCTTCTTCGAACAGACTCCGGATGCTCCAGCTGAGAGTCTGGATCTCATCCTGGGCCTAACGGGCCTGACACCTCTCACGTCAAGCTGAAGGAATCACTTGGAAGTGCTGTTGGGCAAGTTACCCTAAGGATCCGCACCCGAAACAATTCAAACAAAACCAGGGTTTGGTTCGGGGCCCCAAACCCTTGTGAACTAGAGGGTTCGACCCCTTGCCATGGAGGGTCCGGACTCGGATCCTGAGGCTACTATGATTTGTCATGTTTGCAAATTAAACAAGAAAACATAGAAGTTCCTGAAGTGATTGTCATAGCTCTAGAATGATCTAGAATGATCCTAAAGATTTCTCATAGATTTCTCAAGTCATTATCATCGAGTCATGATCATAACATAGAAGTCAAATTTATGACGTCATGGAACTTCCTGAAGAAAATTCGAAAATACTTCCACCCGTCCAATTCCCAAACAGACCCCCAAAAAAACCCTTCATACACCCATCCTCCGCACATATCCCCCTGGCCCCAGCCCCACCTTCCAAAACCCAAGGCACAGCAGCCGCATGAGCCGGAAGATCCGCACCAAGCGCCCGGCCCGGAGCACGGCGATGCGGAAACCCAACTCGCTGTCAGGCGCCAGAGCGGCGAAGATCTTCTCGCCCCAGCCGCAGAAAACGATCAGCACCTGCCGAACAGACTGGCTCGGAGTGCTCGGCCGCCCCGGACGCCGTTCCACGAGTGACGAGACCCGCCACACGCGTGGGGGTGGGCTCAAGGTCGCTCCGAGTGACCCCGGCTCCCTGCTTCATTCATGGGGAATATGATGGGAATATGGATGCCCCTGGCTCTGAAGCGCTCCCTCCTTTACTAAAAGCAGTCTGAAAGACTGGCACCAGCAAGAACGGGTGGAGTATATATATATATATTAATATTCCCCCTTCCCCCTTCCCCACCCTTTCTCCTTTCCCTTCCCTTCTCTTCCTCTTCTTTGCAGTTTTTGCGTCTTCTATTTGAAGTGGCTCGGGGTTTGGTCAACCAACGTTGTGCCCAAAGTTGTGCCCGGGACTTTTTGTTCCACCTGGCCCATTTCTATTTGAAACCCTCCCGGCGGCAAATTTCCATACCCTTCAAATAGAAGATTGGCACACGCAATTTCTTCTACAATAGATTCCTACTATATATGTATATACACACATACAGTAGGGATATGTAGGGATCCACATACCTTCTCACAAGGCATGACTGGACCCTCCTGGCGGCCACATAAACAGTCTCCAATCACCTGAAAAGGTATGTGGATCCATAGGGAGGGAGACGTGCGAGTTTTTGGGAGATGGGGGCCCCATGGGGCCCCCATATGAGTCCACTTTCTTCGAGCGCCCGAATCGGGCGGTGGTGGTTCTGACCACGAACTTCCCCTCCGCGAGATGCCCGGACCCCCGAAAAATCCAAGGCACGTCCACCACCATCATCCAGTCCCTGGCGGGGCGGTTGAGGGCGGAAACCGATGACTGACCCGGGAGGCCGACCGGACGTCGCCCCGAGTCATGAGTGAAGGTTCAGGCCACGAACACAAGGTGAATGAAGGCAAGGCCAAACATTGAGCACCGCGGACATCAAGAAGATGTGATATTCTTCTAAACTCCAGGTAGGCTGGCAGAACAGAAGCACATCATTAGCCAAATGGGGGCTCCAAAAACTGACACAATGCAATATTATGTGCCACATATCCAAACACTCCATCTGGGACTGCCATATATGCCATCCTTTTCGGCATGTTTCCTATCAAAACAGGGGTCAGGACTGGGCTTCCAGGAAGACATCTCGTGAGACTTCTTTCCTCTCAAAGTCTCGAACTGGAAACCGTCTGTCTCTCCACTTCCCTCATCTTCCCTCGCACGGCGGGCTGCGCGCCTCAGGACTTCAAGGCCAAATAAGAGAAGCAACGCCAAGACCTCTGTGGAGTAGCACGCCTGGGGCCCAACCGGGCTCCGCGCTCGCTGCCCACGGATCGCAGCATGGTCACCCCCCGAAAAAAAAAAAAAAAAAAAAACACGGCTCTTGAGGAGAATCTGAGGAAGGATCAAACGAATCGAACGCAAGCAGAAACTGTTGCACGGTCGGTGTTGCAACGCCTAAAAAGGGAGCCGAGATGAGCCGAGCGAAAGCGGATTGGAAAAAGGTGTTGATCTAGAGTTCTCCCTAAGAATCCGGGCCCTCAAACACATAGGGTTTTGAGGGCGACCCCTGCGAACCCCTGCCATGGAGAGCCCAAGGATTCTTAGGGCTAAAGATGTTCCCAACCGAACTGTCCACCTCTTCTTCAGCTACAGCAACCAATCACCACAAAAAGATTACCCACTGATACCCACTGACTGGGAAGGGATCTTCATGGATCTTCTGTTGTACAAGTCCTACCCCCCCTGGCTCCCAGCATGTCCCAGCTGCTAAGCACAGATCACTGATAACCCGATAGACCTGTGGCGAGGTGGTCTTCGACGCAGTGGCGTCGATGTCCATGCAGGTGCACCACGCATCGACCACGACGATGAGCCCCATGAAGTTGGCCAAGTAAACGCTATTCCTGGGCGCACTTCTGCGAAAAAATATACAGTAAACCGCCGTGGGAATGGTCGTCTTAGGAAAACATATATCGGAAAACTCTGAAGCAATGTGTTCCGTGCCAGTCGGCCCCCCGCCCTGAAGTCAAGGGCGGTAGTCTCTTCGGATGGCGCGCCGAACATCCAGTGAACTCGTCCCACAAAATGGAGGCGTTTGTGCTTGGAACAAGTGGGGGTAAAAGCGAAAGGTCGAAGAATGAGAGGGGATGAGTGCGAGTCAGGGTGAGCGAGCGAGGGAGTGAGTGCGTGGGAGGGAGGCAGGGAGGGAAGGGAGGGAAAGAGAGAGCGTCACTGGAAGATCATGGGAATATCTGTGTGTGTGTCCACTCCTGTTTCCAAGGACACTACCCTAGTTTTTCT